GCGGGGCGGGGGCTCTCCTTTGTTGGATGGGCTCAAGCGGAGACACTTTGATTGAGACCCCTGTGCTGAGCAGGGGCCTGGGGTTCATGGTGTCAAGGCTGGCACTTTCCAACCTAAGATGTTATGCTTAGGACATATGGTTGGGTTTGCACTGGACTCATTTATAGCGATGCTTCTTCAGAGAGAAGCCTTGTGCTGAAAAGCTGCAAAAGGTTAACAGGCCGACAAAGCCAGGGTGTTGGCTCTCTCGTTCGGTCTCCATCTTCTATTTTCACAAATTGCCATGGGGAGGGGAGGGGAGCGGAGGGGAGCCCCCAGCCAGCATCCTGAGCTGCTAGTTCAACATGTATGTCAAAAAGCATATTTTGGAGTGGATGGTCAAGAGAGAGGGAGAGAGAAAGAAGGTTCAGCTGTTCTCCTTCAGGGTTGGGGGTCAATCCAGCTCCCCACCAGGCAGGATATAATGTCTGCCTTGTATCTATCCCTACTTTATTTCACGTGAATCGTGCCACATGTTATTGGATAGTTCTTATTAAGGGGCATCCAACCCCTAGCAGATCTGCTTTCCCCATGAGCCCATCCCCATATCTGCCCCAAAGGACTGGGGACCAGCGAGGAGAAGGAAAGTCTACAGTCAAGGTCAGCTCCTGCTTTCTGTATGGACATGGCCTCCTCATTCCCTTCCCACGGACTTCTTCCATTAGGTTTTTTGACTTCCCGGCCCAGTCCAGCGTGCTGGCATTTCCTGGTAGCCTCCTATCCACAGGCTAAGTAGATCTGACTGTGGCTCAGGCTATCTGGGATGGAGTCTCCCAGGGAGGATTCACTCCCCGCAGGGCTCCCTTGCTTGAGGAAGGGGCTGCAGCATTACACCGGTAGGCACCATCTCTCCCGCGCCTGGCCCAGCCAGGAGGAGGAATCATCAGATAGAGAATTGATTTACCCCTTCAGGTGGACCCGGGGGTCAGGGGCTTCGGGAAAAGGGCACCTTGTATAGTGATCATCATCATAATCAGTGGGAAAATGCAGGGCTGTCACCTTTCTGATAACAGGCCAGCCTAAAAGGCAAGTCTGCATCTCCCAAGAATTAGACTAGTACTTTGAGATCCTCCTACCTTGCTGTACTGGGTTAGCTTTTGGAAGACGTCGGTTCTGGTGCCCACCAGCCCGACTCCGAGAGTATCCAGAATCATCCGTTTGCTCCGTTGAATGACTCTGTCAGTCAGGTGGCTTGCATTCAACCCATGGATCACGTGAGCAAAGTTTCCAGTAATATTCTGGCAAAGAGAAGCCAAACAGTGACAGCTGCATTTGCCCCGCTAGCCCCACTTCCTCCAAATCATCCAGATCCTGATCTCCTCTGACTGGTCTTCACAGATGCAAATTGGTATCCCTCGCTTTTCCCCCCTGTTCACCTGCCACCCCTTTGGAGCAGAACCACTTTTTCATCAGAGAACTGTCGGCAGGCAAATCCTTTGCTTCTGATAGTCTCACTCCCAGAGCCTCCAACTCCATTTGGCATCACGGAGCAGTGAGACTAAAGGAAAGAAATGGGGCCTGGGGTTTCGGCAGGCAGGCAGGCAGCCCCGTCCCCTCTCTAACTGCGGGGGGGGGGTCCGGTGCCTGGCCCACGCCAACAGCACCCCCAGCCAGACGTCCGTAATGTTGACATTGGCCCCTACGGGTGCCGGCTGGAACAGAGGAAGCTGCTTCCCTCTTTGCCCAGCTCAGCCTGTCCTCTCTGACCTCTGATGGGCCTCTCGGGCCCCGAAGGACACTTTTGACCAACTCTGTTACATGACCCTCCTCGAAAGGTACCAGGGATTGGGATGCAACCTTCAGCGGACAAAGCCCCACGTCCATCAGCTCCCTAAGCTGCAGCCCAACCTTCCCCCTTCTCCCTCTGCTTCAACTGGAGCATCCATGGCTGCCTTCTTGGAGGAAGATGCTGAAGGACTTACCTTGGCCCACATGATGCTGCGGGTTTCTCAGCTCTGATCGGGGTGGAGAGGTGATGGGATGTCCTGCGCCTCCAGAGGCAGAGGCTAAATGAACTGAGCCCTTTCTTTTTATACGTTCGAGGAGGAGTGATGGGGCAGTTAGTCCCAACTTGCCTTTCAACATCTCCAACTTTCCGTCTTCCAAAGGGCCCAGATTGCAGCAGCCCGAGTTACCGCAAGTCACGTGCTGGGTCAAGCCGGCATGCTTCTGGATGACAAGGCAGTCTGGTGAGGGAGGGAGCCGGAAATCCCCAGATAACCCCAGGGCCAGTTGTGTATTGTGAAAGAACACAGCTGGAGCAGAGAACCCGGAATTCAGAAGCTACGTTCTGTGCATTAGGTGAGCAGAGGCGTTGTTGCTTCAAGCAGGAGGCCCAAAATCCGCCCCCAGCTCATTAACTGAATCAAGCCAAACCAATCCTTAACATGGTCATGAACCAGCACGATCCGTTCATCAGTGCCGGGGACAAAACTCAGCACATGTTCCCTGAGGTTCAGAGAGCCATCTCACCCCCCTCCCTGGGGACTCCTCTAAGGAGAATTAGACAGTTCTTGCCCCAAACCCATTCGTTCCTCTCATTTCCCACGACCCACCCTACTACTACTTCTTCTTCTTCCAAACTGTCTTGTCAACAATTTCCGCATTTCTCCTCTACAGATGCAAACATAACTGTTTCCCGTAAGCGTTTGCGAAACTCCATTCAACGTGAAAGGATGAGTTTCTTCACCTCAGTTGATCAGTGTCACTTGTCAGGTTGCATAATGTAAGAAAATTGCTGGAACTTACTCCTTCCCAGCTTCTTCTTTCATTTTCATGTCCTCCAAAATAAATGATTCGCAGGCCAGGTGGTGCTGGAAAAGTCCATTCCAAGACATGAATGTCGTCATCCCATCTATAGGAACAAAACCTGAAGCCTTTCCAGAGCCAAAACATGAAGGTTGTGCGTGATCTCTTTTTTGACATCTAAATACCGGCCGGATCTAGATTGAGCCCCATTTTATATAGAACTCTTGAAAGGCAAAGGGGCTTTCTAATCTGAGTATAAGAAAGTCTGGATTCACCCATTCTAAAGGGACATTTTGATCTTCTGAGCAGTGAGAGCTCCATCGTTCAAGGGTTTCTTAGTAGACAGACTGATGTTGTGACTAGCAGTGTTTTATGAAATATGTTTTATTTTCACATACGAATGAACCATAAAGCAAGGCCACAGCATTAATGCTCCCAAAGGATGACGTCCCCATCACAAGCCCAGAAGGTATTGCTCTTTCACAGAGTAATTGATTTCTGGCGATTGGCCACACTGGCTGGTGTGATCCAGATTTGTGCAAGATTTAACCAACTTTCCCTAGTCAGGCTAGTGGTGACCCTCTTAGAAAATCCATTTTTTCAGACAACCGGGGTGGAGATGAGGTGCAGGAAGAAATGGAAAGCAATGGTTATATTTTGGGGACTGCCCCTTTGGATCAGCCTTCCTGGATGAAAGCAGATTCCTCTGATTATTTCCTGCTCTGTGTAGCTCATCACCAGCTTTTCTCCTGTTTGCTGCTGTTTTGGTTTTCTGCACTGCACATTTTTAAAATTGTTGAACGGCTTACTCCTTCCTCTGTTCAATCTCTCTTGACTTGTTAAGTCTTCTGCAATGGGTTGGATGATGTTAAAAAAAGACTTCCTAGAGGGAACAGTCCTTCAGGGATGGACCCCATTACCACGGAGGTGGACTCGTTGACCCTGAGGCCGGCCAGCCCGCTCTCCCGACGGCTGGATGAGCAGGTGATTGCCTTCAACGGCCCCGTCCAATCTTTTGCTGCCGCAAACGCAGCAAGGCCTTTCCAGGCCAGGAAGGCTGCAAGTGAAGGGCCGTGCTGCTCTTGCACTTCCTGCTGGAGAGAAGGGCGCCTCAGCTAACCAGGGAGAACTTCGACCGCACGGCAGACAAGACAAGTACCGGGTTGATACCAGGATGCCGCAACCGTCCCGAGTGTGGAATTCGCTCCTGCCCAAACACACGGAAAAACCCCTCTTCCTGACGTAACGTGTGATGACTCTAATTCTCCGACCTGTCTGAGGGGGAAGTGGAGAAACAATCACCGGCCACTTATTTTGGGCTATCTGGTGTGGCCAGCAAAAACCCAGGCAAGCAGGGGAGGCAGCAAAAGCGTCTCTCTTTGCTGCCATCTGTGGTGATCCAGGTTACTGCAAGCCCAAGTGGGGCAGCCCGCCACTTACTAGGGTACGAAAAGTAACTCTCCTTCACTGAATAAGGAGAAAGGAAGAGTTGGACCAACTCCCGCCGATAAACAGTTGGAAAGCCTTTTCCAGAAGGGACAGGAAAAAGAGGTGGATTGTAATAACTAAGAGGGACTCAGGCCTGTTGCCAGCCCCTTTGGCTCTGCTCTGTCGCAGCGGACACCCCCAGGCGCTGCTCTCAGTCAGAGATTTACTCTGTGATGGCTTGTTCGCCCTCCTTCCCTGGTTTGCCCTCCTCACCTCCTATCCTGCTCTCCCTCCATCTTCGGCTTCCCGCCCCCTCCCCTCCCGCGGCAACATGTCCTGAGCCCCAAAGTGGGCGGTTTGCAGCAAATGCTTCCAACCTGCACACTGACCCATTTCCTGCACCAGCACGATGCAGTTCTAGTCCACACAACCACACTGTCCCCGACCCTCCGGGGGGGCGGCAGGCAGGGGGCAAATTGAGGGAAGTCTCCTGAGCTCGGCCCCGGGTTTCGCTTGAGGCTACGTGGCTCTAAACCCTCCCCCTCCGGGAAACGTCTGGGGTGTGCTGCTGCTTGGTTTTACTCTAAAGGCGACATTTATCTGGCAGGCTTTGGGAAGTCCGGGCGCGCGTCCCGCTCAGGACAGTCAGCGGAGCGCCTGTCGCTGTTTCTCCCTCCTCCCCGCCCACGCGCAGGAGTTGCTGCTGCAGCGCCCCGGCCACCGGCGAGGAAAAACCAGGAGCAGAAAACGGCCTGAACGCGCCTGAGAAGCAAACCGAATCTCTGGTTAGCGGGGGGGGGGGGGGGGCTGCCAACTCCCCTCCTCTCCCGGAAGCGCCCAATGGGCTGGCACGCGGGTCTGCCGGGGCCGGAGGCCGAGGGCCAGATACCCAGCTGGGCTCGGGGCGGCGTGGAGCTGCCCGGGACGTTGTCACACACCTTGCGCAGCTGCGAGGCAGGCCCTAAAAACACGGCCCCTCTCTCCGACACCGAGAAGGAGAAAAGCACTGCCGTTTTTAACAAATGGTACGAAAAGGAGGTTCGCTGCTACCGCATGAATTCAGCACGAAGAGGCGGCTTTGAGGGGCGGGGAAGAAGAAGGAAAAAAGAAAAGCGCGGCGAGCGGACCCGCAGCTCCCTCCGCAGGTCA